TCCAGAGATGCAAAAGCATATTTTTTTGTTCAGCTCTCTTTCTGGAGCTGTCACACCACTGTCCATGATTTGTTTTAATTATTTCCAGAGAGCCTTTTTTGTTTGTTTTTTCATTTCTGCTGTGCGTTGCATTTTCGAACAATAGTGTCCATCAACAGCACATTCAAAACAAGAAAAAATTACTTTGCATATTGACATCTGGAAGGCTGTCGTTGATTTTTCATGTAAACCAAAAAGTGATGTTTACATTCGAATCGATTTCCTCCCAGATAAAACACATTTTAAAGCCATTTAAAAAATCATTTACACCCATGTTTGTATGTTCCTCCACCAACATTGGATCAGTGGAATAGCATAGCAAAACCACAGCGGGATGTATGTTGTGTCACCTGCATGTATGAAAACAGGCTCTGCTTGTAAAAACGTTGCTCCATAGCACTACTAGTGGCCAAAAACTCCCCAGGGTACTGCTAAGTTTTTTTTAAAGAGACTCACTACTTAAAAACAGTTCAGTGGCTCTTGAATGAGATTTCTGACAAATAACCCTAATGATGTCAACAGGGCTTTTTTCAGATTGGACTCACATTTTTAGAGAAAGTCTGTGAAATAAACTGGGGTTGTGCATTTTGAAAGGCCTCATGTTTACCAGACAGGTTGGGTCCAAGTAGCAATGTCTATGGCTAACACATTAAAGCTTTAAATTAAAGCTTTAATGTAAAGCACACATTAAAGCACATTAACCATCAACCAGCTTCAGCTAAACACTAGCAAGACGAAGGAATTGACCGTTAACTCCTGGAGGAAAACATCCCATTTCACCCCGCTGAACATCCAGGGATTGGACATTGAGGTGGTAGATAATTATAAATTCCTGGGTGTTCACCTCAATAAAAAACTGGACTGGACTGACAACACCCATGCTCTCTATTTGAAGGGTCAGATTCGCCTCCACCTGCTGAGGAGACTGAGGTCCTTCGGAGTAAGCAAGGCTCTCCTCAAGACTTTTTATGACTCTGCGGTTGCTTCAGCCATCTTTTATGCTGTGGTCTGCTGGAGAGGGGGCGGTACGGACAGGGACAGGAAGAGACTCAATAAACTGATCAGGAGAGCGAGCTCTGTCCTGGACTGTCCTCTCGACTCCATTGAGGAAGTGGGTGAAAGGAGGATGTTAGTGAAGCTGACATCCATCATGGACAACACCTCTCACCCCCCCTACATGACACTGTGGGGTCCCTGAGTAGCTCCTTCAGCAGCAGACTGATACACCCACGGTGTAAGAAGGAGAGGTTCCGAGGTCTTTCATCCCTGCCGCTGTCAGACTCTACAACACCTGATCAATGTTGTAGTTTCTGTTTTTCAAATTACCACCATACCATAGCTTTACCACTTTACCATAGTTTTTATATGTCTGTATTTATTTATTTCATGTAATTGCTGCTGTGACAAGGGAATTTCCCCGTTGTGGGATTAATAAAGTAATACAATAAAATACAATACAAATAAAAAATGAAGCTAATAAGGAAGTGCCAAAAACTGCAGATTTTTGAATTGCCACTTGAAGCTGGCATCAAAAGCTAATCAATCTCCATAAGCCCCCATGTTAAAATGCCTTTAAAAAAAAAAACTTTACAGCAAACATTTTTGGTCTCTGACTAATTTCCCTTATTCATGACTGTACAGGGGGTGAATTTTTATATACGTTTTTATCACCTGCTTAAACTTATACATAATTAAGACTGTGGCCACTTTGAGTGACATGTGGCTGTTTTCAGCAACCAGGCTTCATTCAGCCCGCCTCAGCTCCACCCATGCTCCACCTCTTTGCACATTTTTGGATTAGCCAGGAGCCTGGATGGATGGCAACAGCCAGGGCCGACCACACTGAGGTTCACAACAGCTCTCCAGAAACCCATGGGTGACATCACAGAGACTAGGTCCATTTTTATTTATACAATCTATAATTGAGTCTAAGGAAATATGCAACTGCTAAAATGCCGGAGTCCCCTTTAACTAGTACGTAGTATGGGCTTAGGACGTTTGTGTCACAGCGTGTTCTCTGCTAAGTTTAGTTAGCATGTCTTTAACTGTTCGGTAGTGGTGATTATCTGTTTATGAGGATTAGTGCCCCACTGTTGTCTTGTAACTAAGAGAGCAAGAGAAAGAGAGGGAGCTTAAGAGGTTTAGGGTGAAAGGGAATGAAAGCTGGAAGGAGGGTTTGTGGCCGACAGCTTAATCATAAACATGTTCTTTCTACCATAAAAGAAAGAAAGACAGATAGACAGAAAAAAATAAAGTCACAGAAACAGTAGAAACAATGTCTAACATTAGTCAAGTAACATATTTTGTGACTTGACTGTCCCTAGGGTGCACACCGAGGACGACGGCAACTGCGCTCAGATGTCCGGGAGGCCTGGCAGCGTTTAAACTCTGTAGCTTTGCATCACGTCTCACGAGAGATGAGAGGATGCAGAGCCTGGCCAGGGGTCAAAGGCCAGAATTGCGCTCTCTCTGAGCTCCGATCGAATTACAGACGTCTGAACCCACTGACACATCGGCATGTGATAAAAGGCTTTGCTGACTCATTTGAAACCCCAAGGAGAGGTTATTTATTTGTCAGTGTCAGGCTTTTAAAATTAGAACAAAGAGAAGAAGAAGGAAGAAGAGGACATCAGTGAGGCTCATATTTGCTTGTGAGTCATGCAAGGAGTTGTGGAAACAGCATGTTAGCCCCTTTGCCTTTTCTTGTTGATAGCAGAAGCATTGTCTGTGACACAACTTTTCCATGAAGTATCACATAAATACATTTTGTTTTAATCTGTTTTTGGTTTTCTCAGTAACATTGATGGCATCAGAAGTATTTTGTGAACATCCAGATGAAAACTTTGGTTTGCACGTTATCCCAAAAACCATAAAACTACTAAAGGTTTAGTGACAAGGTTAGGCACCCTTCTTTTTCTGCTTTGACATATTACACCATCAAACTAAATAACACAAAACACGTTAGCAATTTGACACCACATTACTGAGCTGCTTGATACTGGGCTCGTGTCAAGAACTCCTGCTATCATCTTTCTTCACCCGTCCACACTTACTATTGTCTGTAACTGTCGTTTGTCATGTACATCACACCTGACCCGGACACCCTTTGACATTGTTGGTCTTTTGAAAGAGACTTGCCGCTGTCAGATGGATGGATGTTTTTCTGTTTTGCTGTTAAGGTTTTGGGCAGTTCCTACAGCTGCCAGATAACCCCACTGGGACTAAAATGGCTGACTGTGAGCGTTCTGCACATTCCTGCTTCAGGAATGTTCAGTTTTCAGACCTTGTTTTTTGGGGATCTGGTGACATCATCGTGCATCATATCCTGGTGGCAGAAAAACAGCTCTTGAGATGCAAGGACTCTTCCTTAGGGGTCTTTTGAAGCCCAAAAAGTGCATGTTTCTGAGCAAAGGTCACTGTGATGCTGCATTGCATGCAATACACTTTGAATTAGCTTGTTGATGTACGTAGGCTGTAATAGTTTCTGTGGCCCCTTATCTGAAACTACTTTTCCTTGGCTTTAAAGTAAAAACGTATGCTGTAAATTGATTGTTCACTAAACCCCTCCCCCAAACAGTGATTGTCCAATTATAGTTTAGCAACCTTATTTATGCTCAGCAGACCTATCAAGTTTTAAATTTTGAGTTTTGTCTTTTTTAACCTTTCTAAAGCCAAAAACATAAATGTGTAAATTTAATGGATTAAACGGTTTGCCTGTTTACATGTAAGCTGCCATCATTAGCATTTACAGCTAACTAGCTTACCTACCTACGGTAAATTACCCAATCTGGCATTTCGTTTCCATTCACGACTAGCACATTCACTGTGTAATATTTCCGCAATGTGAGAGCTGGTCCTGCCAGTGACAGTTTTCACTTTAGCCAACAAAATCAATGGTCTCTGGCAAGAATTGTGAAGCTGAAGAAAGACAGGAAAGGGGGGAAAGAGAGGGGATGACATGCAGCAAAGGCCCTGAGGCTGGAATAAAATCCAGGCCTCTGTGTTAAGGACCTTTGTACATGGTGCACATGCTCTATTAGGTGAGCTACTGGGGCACCCATAAAAAAATTACAAAGAATTTTGAAGGGTAAATCTGCTACCAGTGAAAACAGCATAAAGTGTATAAGTGTAAGAACTGTAACAGAAACTGAGGGGGGGCAGGATTAGTGAATGTTCAATTGAGACGTAACATTTGAATAACGTGCCATTTTCCCCAAAATTGTTACATTGTGTTTCTTCAATTACAGCCGTTTCCTCCTTATAATAAAAGACAAAGCAATGGTATGACATAACAACCACACACTGAAATGTAATCTCATCCCTAAATCCTCTTTAGCCAATGGCTTACACACGTCAAACACAGACATGGTTTTGAAACACTATAATGTTGCAGGTGAGGAAGGTGTATGTTTTTTAGCTCTTAGCTGCTGCAGGGATAATTTGAAGTAAGTATTGTACATAATTTTGTACCAAATTATGTTTTTGTCTTGAATGAATGTCATTACTTTCTGTCATCCAAAGGACTTCTATCTTTTTTTGGCAATCCCGACTCAGCTCATCTTGTCAGAGGTCTGTCTAACCACTTGGCCTACATGCAACCAAATAAAACACTGTTATAGGTCTACAGTACGATGCAGTCAATGGAGAGTATTTGTATGACACACGCAGAGTCTTTTCACAGAGGCAAAGCAGCTCCATAATGGCAGGTCCAGACACATAAAGCAAAGTGCTAATTGCCAGTCAAAGGGGGGAGAGGAGGGAGATTTAGGGTGTGGCAGGGAGAGACTGGCTGAGACACAGGGGGATGTCTGCAAGATCCTTGGAGCAAATGTCTTGACTGTCTGCCTCATCCATTTCCACTCTCTTTCTGTTTCTCCATCAGTGACCCAACCTAACTCATCTTTGTTAAATTTTTAAAAAAATATATTTTGGGTTGGGCTTATATTTTCTTTAGCAAGACATAAAACAAACAAGGACCTAAGAAGAACAAGAAGACAGATTACAGAACTTTTCGCTGTGATCTGCTGATCATCATTAAAAATGCAGGAGGAAAAAAAGAAACTCACAATAACATATAATAGCAAGTTTTGTGTTCTCACAGTTTAAAAAAGTTAGAACTGATGCGCTGTACTTTTATTTATTTGTTTGAGTTGAACATGATTTCTGATCTTCTCTAGTAGCTCCTGCCCTTCCCAGGTGATTCAGCAGCACTTTATGACTATGGTTATATGACCAATGCTAAGCTAGTGGTGTGATTTTAAAACATATTATACACAAATCAGTACTCGACAAACCAATGAATGACGTCACAATAGGTTCACACCCACCATGACATCACCCATTGTTTTTTTGAAGCCTTGAGTTCTGGCAACCACATTTGGAGCCATATTTGGAATAGTTTCGAGGTGAGGGAGGATAGGCATCGCTACACCTCTTCTGACTGAGAGCCCTCAGGACATGCCATGGTAGGGACTTGTCCAGTACAAGGTAGCCACGCCCTAAAGTATTCTTATTTTACTCTTAATGGGACCATAATTTACAAAATGTACATTATGTCATATGGAAGAAGACTTGAAACCAGCAATTGTGACCATAAACTGAAATGTTTACTTGGTCTCCCTTCAAAGCATGTAGCAATAAACTACGGCGGCCACAAAACTCATGAAACTCAACTCAACTCTAAAAAACACAGAGGACCCTATCAAGAACCGGTGTTTGGTTTGTCCATTCTGGGCTACTGTAGAAACATGATGGGTCAACATGGCAGCCTCCGTGGAAGAGGACCCACTCCCCTTGTAGTTAAAAACAGCTCATTCTAAAGGTAAAGAAAACACATAAACAGTACTTATTATACACTAATGAAAACATAGCACTGAATATTACATTCGATTTCTGCAAATAGATCATCTTAAATGTTACACACTGGTCCTTTAAAGCCTTAACTACTGAATTATCAGTACAATATTAGGCAAGTCCTTTCCAGTACACCTGCAGGACCGAGCATGCCGCTGTTCATTACATCAGCTACTGCAGTTACCGCCTGACAATTAGTTATACGGCAGGGCAATTAAACAGTTAATTAGAGACTTAATCAGTCAGCAGTGAGGGAGCTGCTCAGTCTGTCAGGCAACATTTAATATTCATAATATCCCCGTTGGTTAGATTTCAATTTGTGACCACTGTTCCTCTTTGTCTCAACTCTTAAGACTTTTAGTTCTTGCCATATTAAATAATTTTGCAGCTCTTTTGATTGGATGCAGCTGCACTTTGGGAACAGATTACTTGAGATGTCAACATGAGGCAAAAATAGAGCCCTGCTGTCTCATGTTGCTTTGAAAACTCACATTTAGAGCACTGATTGCCAGACCTCTTTTATAACTGACAAAAACCGTGATTTAGTTAGTTTTTCCATGAGGCGTTTCAAGCATCTGTCATCAGTTGAAATGTCTCATCATTTCATCACTCAGCCGGTCCACAAGGGAAGGGTTTCATTCCTAAATTTGATATCTGTTTAAAAACTGTAACATCTTCTCTTGAATGACTGCTGGAATTAATGTTACCATGTGATATTTAGGTTGACTGTCAAGAATAAAATACTTTAATTTTAAAGGATATAATCATCTGCACTTTGTAAGTATTCAACATGTGGTGACAATGTGCATGCAAAACAGATGTACAGTGTGTTGCAGTGAAACCCTTCACACTGACTTGTCCAGCAGCCAGCCAGGCACTCAGTCCGTGTTCTCGATCTCTAGTCCTCATCCCTCAGGGACAGTAGCTGGCAGGCCGCCCTGTGTTTTTGTCTGGCTATGCCTGTCTGCCACTCGCGGTTTCTCCCATTGCAGTTTCCCTGCTTCAGCCAATCACGGTGCACCTCAGGTCGCCACAGAGGCCAGACAGGGCGGTGTCCCCTCTGCAGACGGGGTGGAAGAGGAGCTCACGTGAGATCTGTTTATTCGACGGAGGAGAGATAGAGAGAGTGAGAGATAAAGGAAAATGAGACAGGAGGGCGAGAGAGAGAGACAGAGACACATGGAGGGCGAGAGAGAGAGACAGAGAGAGAGAGAGAGAGAGAGAGAGAGAGAGAGAGAGAGAGAGAGGGAGAGAGCATTCTTGTGAAATGAAGTTGAGAAAATTTCAGTTGGCGGGAAAAGCAGGAAGGGAGGGGAGGAGGGATACAGGGAGGGGAGTAAAGGGAGGAGGAGAAGGAGGAGGAGTATGAGGAGGAGGGGGGAAGCAGCACACAGCACTGGACGCATTTATGTTATAGATATTTCCACTCATCAGCTGTTAGTCATTGCTTTGGCACCTAAGCTGCACACATTACTCTGCGTGAATTACTTTACCCAACCAGGGACTTTTATTTGATTATACTGGTTGGCCTTTCTCACTTTTAAGGGAAGTCTGGTGATTCAATTACATTATTCAGTTTTCCAAAGGTAAAGCAGCAAAAATACCGTTTGAAAGAGGGAGGGAAAGCGAGAGATCAAGCAACATTTTGCAAAAAAGTACTGCAATGATATCTTATATCCTGAGCACTTCAGAAGACTCTTTTGAAGACCAGCCATGAATCTTGAAGCATGTGTCCCTGATCAAAGTTTCTGTAACTTCCTATGGCAAATTACATCAAGGTCTATTATTTCACTTATTTATGTCTGAATTTTTACAGGAGACAAAGTGAAAAGCCATCAATCTGTTGTTAACTAGTATAAACAGCAGAGAAAAAACAGAGAAGACAATCAAGCCAAGTAAAAAGTGCTGAAATTTGAATGGAGTTCAGCTGGATCCCGCCTGCAGACATTGTGACAGACTGCCTTCTTCAGGGAAAGATACAGTCAATTAACAGTTCCCTGCCATTTAAACTAACTACAACAGGTGTGGCAAATTAAGGCAATCAACTTGACAGGCCACTCCAAGGAAGGCCTAAAAAAACATGGCTAATCAGATACTAAAGACATTCCCCAGGGACTAGGAACCTTTTGAGAAACTCAGTGTGTTTCCATCACGAGGACCGGGGTCTAAATTAATTAGGACATTATTTTACCCCCAAAAAAGTCCCTGCTCGAGGAGTACTACTTTCCAGAAGTACAGTAACTTCTGGGAAGGGTCTTGCATTTCTGAGTGGTCGAGTACTCGCAGCATATTTTATCAGCCACCATTTAAAAAATTGTGCAGTCTTTGTTTTTTATTCATTGTGCTACGACACATCAACATAGGACAGTGTAAGGTTGGCTACTTTGTGGGCAGCACAACAATCTGTGGACAAAACGCTGGTATATTATCACTGTATAACGTTTATTATGGCTAATGTTAGCAAACAATTCCACATCTAGTGGACACAAGCAACATTATTATTATGGCCACATAACAAAAGTAGGTCCAATATTCTCTCTCCTTTTAGCTCTGTTTTGGTCCTCACTTCATAGGGGGAATATCTGGCTCTTTAGCTGCTAAATGCTCCATGTTGTTTGCCAGCAAGTTGCTAACCTCAACTGTTTTAACTGTCTGTTTTGTGCTGACCTGGGAGCATACAGGGGGGTTATCAGAGCTTTTTGAATTAAAACAGCTGCCTGTGTCTGGATACTTGCTGTTGAGAGCTGTGACACCCAAAAAGTTAAAGTTGTGGGCTGTAAAATGAATGATGCAAAACCAAAAACACACAAACACATAAAAACAAGTGCAACAGAAAAATGCTGCAATCAAAGAAACGAAGCAGAAGCAAAAACGTACAAACCCACAAAACAAATGCCAAAGAAAAATGCTGCAAATACCAAAAACACACAAAACCCCAAAACAACTGCAAAAGATAAACGCTGCAAATTCACTCTACAAAACGGAAGTGCGCCAGGCCACTAGGGGGACCCGACCTGAGGGATGGACCAGTCCTGTGGGACCAGACCCGAAAGACATGAAGAAGAAGAAGAAGAAGAAGAAGAAGAAAGTAGGCTAAGTTTTGGAGAGGAGAGTAAAAAGGTACGTTTTCCTTTATGTCTTTTTTAAACACTTGGCCGTAATCTTTTATAATATTATAATAATATTAAATAATGTTATTATAATATTATAGAAAAATATTCTTCTATAATAGAAGATAATATTATATTGTAGAAGAATTATAATATTATAATATTTGTAAGTTTTTGCTTCTGCTTCGTTGCTGTGATTGCAGCATTTTTCTGTTGCTGCGTTTTTCTGTTGCACTTGTTTTTATGTGTTTGTGTGTTTTTGGTTTTGCATCATTCCCGTGTTTGCAGCGTTTTGCCGTTTGCGGCTTGTTTGCCCTTGTCGGCCACCGTAGCTTTAAGACCACTTGCCAGTACCAAAAATTGTATTTAGTTAAACAGTAAATTAAAGTTTCCATTACTTTATAATAGTAAGGGCAACAGTGCAGTCCAGTATAACCCATTCTTTATTATTTAAACCTTTTTATACCTTCTCTTTGTGGGAAAAAATATATTTTTATTGTCTCTCTTTTGTTTGTTGTTTTTTTCTTTTAAAAAGTGATGCTTGTCACTTTACAGTTCACAGGATATGTTATGGTGTGCATGTGATGATTAAGAATCCTGTAAGTGCACTATTGATACTTGTGGATGATATATATTATGTTTTCTGTTGCATGTATGATCATGACCTGTGACCACACTGTGGTCTTTGATGTTTGTATTCATTGTTGCCTGTCGTTTGGTTGTGTAACTTCAAGCTCTCCCAGCAGCACCTGTTTTGTTTCATTTTATGGCTATCTCTGTCAGTATACGCCTCTTGAAAACCACATAAAGAAGGAGGAGCACACATCAAGCTTTCTTGAAATCATGATTTCTATGCTGAAAAAATGTCTTTGTGAATGGTTTTTAATTTCCTTCTTATGACTTTCTTACAAAACCTGTGCCAGAAATCCAGCAAACAATTTTAAGGAGGCAGAAAACAGATTTTCAAATAAAAAATAAATTGAATAAAGCTTGCCAAGCTCCACATTGCTGTTATAAATCAGCCTCAGCATACATGTCCTGTGTGGATAATATCCCAACTGTCTTTGCAGCGGCTCCCCTGCCCCTGTTTTCTCTGCTCCGAGTCTTGGTCGACCTCCAACTAAAGCACAGGCCCCTTTTTGCTGGCTCCCTTCACATTTCCATCACTATCACTTCACCATTTGGATCTGCTGTGGGCTGCATTTCTCTCTGTCCCATCCAAGAGGTCAAAGCATGGTCATACAGAAATGAAGGCAAATCATCTAAATATTGTGAAAACATGGGGGAAATGCGGCCTCTTTTGATAACAAATTGTCCAGCTGAGCTTTATTTTTTTGTTCTCAAAAGAAATTATTTTTTAATAAAGTAGTCAAACTCTATTGGTTATAACATCAGCTTCATTGTACTGTAATTGGCATTACTTCACTCGCTTTGAAGGTTTCCCTAAGCCAACATGGACTCACACAGGAAAGAAAAAAAGACAAATTTTCTTCACCCAAAGGTGACCCAGGTCTGATGTCTTTTCCATGTTTGGTCTTTAATGTACAGATCACATACAGCTCATTATTGCTTCTGTGGAAATCCAGACATCAAGTCACGGCACAGTCATTTTCATTGACTTCAATTGATTCAATTAACCATCATTGCTGATCTCTCTAAGTGCCCCTGCAATGACCTGGTAGACTCTTAAACACTTAATTACTTATTTAACTTACACATTTATGCTGTAATCTCCCATCGCTATTCATTCTTTCTTTCTTTCGTAAACTGTACCTTGGCTACAAACAAAGCAATACGTCAGTCACTGAATCCTTAGGATCTTAAAGGGCTATTAACTAAGATTTCTACTCCCCATATAAAGTACCATAATGTACGCAGCAGTTTCATAAGTTCGTTAATCAGTGCCAGGATCTCAGCCATTATTTTTCCAGGTGCTGCTATGTTGCTATGTGCGTTTTTTTCAAAATGTTCTGGTACAGTTTGTACTCTCTTTTTTGGAACTTAATAGCCCCACCCACTGGGACACACCCAGTCGACCAGTCAGGCAAAACGTTTACAATAAGATGCAAAGCATAATGAGCTTCTATCTCGAACCTGAATTAAAAGCACAAGAAGGTGCTCGTTATTATTCTTAAACTACCGGAGAGTATAAAAAGTAGTAAAGATCAGCTCAACCTAGATTAGCTACAACAATTAAATGCGTCTTATGTGCTTATGCACCACTAATAGCAATCTAATGTTATAATATATAACAATTTACCACTGGCAGCAGCATTTCAGCTGCATAATGAATACTTTTACTTTTACTTAAGGAAGATTTTGAATGCAGGGCTTTTGTAATGGGGTAGTGTGGTATTACAAATTTTACTTACACTAAGTAAAGAATCTGAATACTGCTGGGACCATCAGCAGCTCTATCTGCTGGGAAAACAGACTCTGGTCTTATTATACTATCTAGCTATGTCACCACAATAACGCTGCCAAAAATATAAATCTAGTCTGAAAAGATTGCATTTAGCCTTCAGCATCAGCTTTATGATCTCCATAACGATATGATAAACAAATAAACTCCATCTACAGGCATGCTCATGTGACTCCAGCATTCTTCTGCAGTGATTAACGCAGAATCTGCTGCTGTTTATATACAGACACTGCATATGACAATTTTTTTATTGTTGGGTATGGAAGATGATGAAAACCTCTGTTTACTCATTCATGTTTACAATTTAACACAGGCATAACACCACCACAACACAAATGAAACTGAGCCAGATCGCCTTATCTGAGTTATGTCTTGCAAAACTCCACAGCATGTTGTTGTTTTGTCTAACCAGATTAATGTTGCACTTGCGTGGCAAGGATAGATTCATATCATATAGGCGTGACATTCACTCACTAAACTGTGAAAATCAGAACACTCCCTCTAATATGTTTAATCCAATAATGACATCTTATAAGTACATGTTTGATCACGCAATCTTTACA